ATATTGATACATAGGAAATGCCTAGTGATTATTGAATAGAATGAATGAGTGAATTGTTCAGTTTCTAGAACTATAGGTAGTAATTATAGACCATTAGTAATTAAGAAGAAAGAATAACAAATTCCTCAACAAAATCACTCAACTTCATGTTCCTGCAGAAATTTTATACCACATGTTTCATGATTTTTCACAGCATATTTTTTTAATAAGAAAATAAAATACAAAAATTGATATGGCTAATATGAACCTTCAGGCTTAAATTCGTTAGTTTTCTATCTCTGTTTTAACAAATTACCACAAACTTGGCAGCTTAAAGTAACATCAAATTGTTACCTCACAGCTCTATAGGTGGGCTCAGTCTCTCTTCTCCAGGGGTCATTAGATTCAAGTCAGGCATTGGCTTGGTTTGGCTTTTTCCTGAAGGGATAATCAATCCACTTCCAGGATCATTTCAGGTTGTTGGTAGAATTCAGTTCCAGTGGTTGTAGGACTAAGGTTCCTGCTCCCTTGCTGGCTCAGCTGGGGTCATTGTCAGCTTCTATAGAGCTACCCACGCCCCCTGGCTCATGGCCTCACCATGAAGGCCAGCAGTGGTGGCTCAGGTCCTTCTCTTTGACTGTCTCATTTCTCCTGCTTCCTGTCTGAATAAGTTCTGTATTTTAAGGCCTTATGTGATTAGATTGAGTCCACCTATGTAATCCAGAATAATCTTGCTATTTTAATCTTTCAGCTGTCAAAAAAAAAAAAAAAAAAATCCCCCCCCCCTTTTTTTTTTTTGGTCATGTCAGGTTCTAGGACATCTTGGGGTGATCATTATGCCTGTCTTTTTGTTTTGTTGTTTTTGTTTTTTTCTTGCCATTTCTGCTTTAGAATTTTCCAGTGTGGATTCCGCTAATCACATTCCCCTGATTTTGTTTCACATATAACTTGGTTTCCTATATTGTCTAGGAATTGGTAGTTAGATCTTGATTATAGCGACAAAATCAGATCAGGTTCACTTTTGGGTAAGACCACATAGATGGTGCTGGGTTCTATCTGCAGGCACTTATATCTGGCTCTCTTATTTCAGTAAGAATTGTGAAATGATGATATTCTAATTTTATCATTCTGCCTTCGCTTACTTTAGCAACTATTCGTTTACATTGACTGAGATGTCATTCAGATAGGAAATGCCAGATAAAACTTGTTACTTTTCTAATATTTTCCAGTTTTCAAAGTGAGTTAGTTATTGACCAAAAATAATGTTAGGTTTTTTTCCCCAGTATGATTATTCATCCATCAATTTAATATTTGAAATACTTCAGTCCATTGCAGTTACTACTGTCACTGATGCGCCAGTATTCCCGCCATTGTTCAGTGGGAGCTGCTTGGATCTGGCCCCTGAGCCTTTTTGAACAGGCTTCAGTAGTGTGGAGAGCATCCGTTCCTTCAGTATAACAAGCTGGTCCGGCTCATTTAGTGAATTTCCTGCCTCATCAGCTATTTCTCCATGAGCTCTAATTCGTTGAAAGGAAAATGATATTTAAATTACCACACTCTAGGTACTAGGAATGGTCATTGCTACTGGTTTGACCTTTGTTTCTAGGCTTCTTAGTGGTCTGAGCTAGGCAATACTGTGGTTGTTTTTTGTTTGTTTGTTTGTTTGTTTGTTTGTTTTTAACAAGGATCATACTGACACTTCCAGTTTAAATTCAGGATGATGGAATTTGAACTTAGCCTCATTTATTTATCATATATCTTCTTTCTTAAGCTAAAAGAAAATTGTTTCCTAATGACATCACCATATTTCTTGTTTTGTCCCACAATATACCCATTAAAGTTATAAAAAAAAAAAAACACAAAAAAAACAAAAAACATAGTTTGAAAATTTTGTAACATTGTTTTTCATTTAATAACATCTTCCACAGCCATGTATATATTCCTTATTTCTTTTTAGAGCTGCAGAATACTTCATTGTGTTTATTCATCAGTCCTCTATCTGTGGGAATTGGCTAGTTTTTATTTTGTTGTTATTTCAGATGTTGCCTCAATGAGTAAATCTTTTTTTATGTCTTTTGCCAATGTGTTCCTTGAACAAATTTTTGGAAGTGAGATCACAAATTAAGCATGTAATTTTGTTTCCCTACAGCTTGGTCCATAGAGTGGCATCAATCTTTATGAATTTTGTTATTTTAATAGGTGATAAGTAGTATCCTAAAAGTAGTTTAAATATTTGTTTCTCTTATTTTGAGCATTATTAAGTGATTTTGCTTTAAAACCTATTTGTAAAATGTTTTGTGTTTGTGTGAACTTACCAAATCTCTTACTCATTTTACCATCAAGTTTTGGGCTTTTTCTTTGTTTCAGAAGCTTGTTATATATTAGGGATATTCACCCTTTGTTTATGCTATAAGTTGCAAATATTTTCACTTTGTTGTTTGGCTTTTTAGATACAGTTTTAAGGGGCCTTTTGCCATTGGAAAGGGCTCTTAAAATTTTTCACTCTGTCATATGTATTAACCTTCCCCCTATTGCATGTGGATTTTCAGACATAGTTAAGAAATTATTTCCCACTCCTCTACGTTATGGAGGAATTCACTCGAGTTTATTTTCTTTTTTAACATAAATCGCTAATTTATTTGAAACTATATGTGGTGAGAGAAAAGTATCTAATTTTATTTTTACAGCTATCACATTAACTTGACATCACTTTAGTGAAAAGCCCATCCTTTCCTTAGTGGTTGCCTGTTAAAGGTCCCTGTTTAGATGGTTTCATTGATCAGTACCTCATCATTATTTGCCTGTTATTTCTGACCTTTTGATAACAATGGAAATTAGGAGCATATAATGCAATAGGACCTTTTAGACCTAAAATCCATCCTATAAAAATAATGCTTAGATTTAGTTGTTTTGTTTAAATGAGGGGAAATAAACTCCTTTGCATGTAGCAATGGAAGTGAGAACGACATTAAAGAGAGATGTATAAAAGTAAATTGTCTAAACTTTTCTGTAAGATCCTTAAAAGGGCTTTGTGGGGAAGCAGCCTGATGTAGTTAGTACCTGGGGTCAGGATCCGCCCCTGAGGAATTGCTTTGTTGTGGGCACTCTTAGTTTCCAGGAGCCTTAGTTTCCTCACTCTAACATCCGGATAATAAAATCTTTCAGGGGTGTTGTGAGCACAGAAAGATTTGCATGCAGTGGCCCAGCATAGAGCCAGTACATAATGGGCCTTAGTGAGTGCTGGTTGTCTTCTTTCTCCCTCCAGGGAAAAAGGCACCTATAATTTTTACTCTGAGATTTTCTCCAGCTACTCATGAAAATAAGAACTAGCCTTAACTTTGCTTTGCAAAGCTGATTAAATAAAAAGGGAAGATGAGAAATGAAGCTTTTACTCTTCCAATAACCCTGTAGCTGCTGCCTTTCCTGGACAACAGCCTTCCTGGGCTCTGCTTTCAGAGGGAAACAAAAAGTGGGTTGACAGCAATCATAAGGATTGCTGATGTCAATATAGATGAAGGAGGCTTAGAAAGAGAAGAGAATTCAGGAAAAGGACTGAGAATAGAGATTTTGCTTCTCTCTTCCTAGTATAGCATTGTTTTTTGGTCTTTCAGTTCAAAAGGGCATCTGGCTTATAACGTTTCCCATTCAGAAACTTCTAGAAAATCATCTTTCAGCCTGAACACCCCTGCCTACCCTGAAGTTGAGAGATCTGTCCCTAGAAAAGACAGTTATAATGCAATACCATTTGCTTCTGTGTAGAATGAATTGGAAATGTGAGCCTTTTTTTTTTTTTGACAAAACGCTTTTTCCTACATCTGATTTTCCTTTGCTAGTATATAGTCCTATTTTGCTTTGTTTAGCCTAATAATTTTCAAAATTGTCTATTTTGTAACACTGTGGTGTGTGTGTATGTGTGTGTGTATATATATATATATATATATATATATATATATATATATAACTTCAAAAACATTTGAAAATAATTTTCATTTATTTGATGGAAGGAAAATTTATTCACGTGCCAACAACCTGAGAAGATGGCAATCTTATGCCTTAACAACCATCTTTTTTTTTCTTTCTTTTTTTTTTTTAAATACATTTTATTGATTTTGTACAGAGAGGAAAGGAGAGAGATAGAGAGTTAGAAACATCAATGAGAGAGAGTCATTGATCAGCTGTCTTTTGCACACCCCCTACTGGGGATATGCCTATAACCAAGGTACAGGCCCTTGACTGGAATCGAACCCTGGTCCCTTCAGTCCCCAAGCCGATGCTCTATCCATTGAGCCAAACCGGTTTCGGTAACAACCATCTTTTTGAAAATCATCTTAAAAGTTATTTTTTCTGAATTATTGAGAGTTAATCATGACTTTAACTTGTAATTTTATTTGTTTCTTTTTAAATAAACATCTAAAGTAGTGTATGTAATTCATCATTCAGTGTTAAGAATTGTTATAATATGAATATGAAAAGGTGCTATAAAATAGGATTTAATGGTTTTGCACTGCACCATTTTTATTTTTGTAGCGTTTGAAAAAGTAAATATATTTTTTTAAATTTTTGCATCAGTATCATGACGTGTCATGTTAATCCTAGTTTTTAGTTGAGAACACTAAGGCCCAAAGAAACTGAATTTTAAGTAGCTCAACTCAAGTTCTAGACTAGAAGAAATTATTATTTCAACCTAGTGTTCTCACCACAATGCTACAACTGAACTAAATTTATAAAAGCCAGAGCACTAGTTTAGACATGCATAAGTGTAGACATTACATCAAATTTTCTACTAAATGTATCTTATGCTTCTTTTGCAACATTCCATTTTTAATTTTTCAACCTTGCCTAATTTTCTTAATATGAATAGGTAACTAGTTCTTTGGTGTGTCCACATGAGAACTATTATGGAATAATATTCTGGTAATTTGAAATCTCTTGAGGATAAGTCCTCACAAAATATATATATATAAAAGTCTCAAAAATAGCGCTGTTAGAACTTGGTGCTAAGGTCTGGCTCTGTTTTCCAGGTGGCGTTGCATGCCTGTGGAGTGGCAACAGACATGGTGATTGAACACTGCATCCAGACACGGGCTGCCTTCGTCACGTGCCCTTGCTGTTATGGTTTCATTCAGAATACCTCCAAGTTTAATTTTCCAAAAAGGTGAAAGTCAGTGTTCGACTTAAGGCACCAATATGGGGATTAAACCAATGCACACAACTCTTTTGATATAAAGTTGTAATGACACTTCAGTTTTGAACTCTTTTCCTCTTTCCACAATGGCAAGTATTGTTTATAAGTTTGCAAGGAAGAGAGAGTCTCCTCGATGTCTGCCCCTGATTTTTCTCCTGGATCAAGCTCTTGCAGAAATTTAGAAGCAAGTCTCTTTAGGAGTCTGACAACCAGAAGTCTTACAGCTTCAGCACTTCTCTGTATACTTCTGATGGAACTCGCTCCCTAGGAGAGGCAGGAGGTGTGGTGGTTAAGTGCTTAGGGCCTGGAAGTATTTCTCCTGCTGCAAATATTGGCTCCTCATTCTTTTATAAGTTGTTTCACCTCAAGCAATTTACTTAAACTCTGTTTGCCTACATTTTCTCGTATACAAAACGGAGGTTATAATAGTAAATTACTTCAAGGTTTTTGTGGGAATTGAATGCAATATGGAAAGCCCTTAGAAGCTACCATAGAATGAATACTCAATAAATATAAGCTGTTGCTAGTTACAGAGGTAGCAGCAGTATTTTTATTTTATTTTATTTTTTAAAATATATTTTATTGATTTTTTACAGAGAGGAAGAGAGAGGGATAGAGAGTTAGAAACATCGATGAGAGAGAATCATCAATCAGCTGCCTCTTTCCCACCTACTGGGGATGTGCCTGCAACCAAGGTACATGCCCTTGACCGGAATCGAACCTGGGACCTTTCAGTCTGCAGGCCGATGTTCTATCCACTGAGCCAAACCGGTTTTGGAGTAGCAGCAGTATTTTTAAATACCGCCCTTGGGTGGTGATGGTTAGTCTGCAGGTTCAACGGCCATTTTTGTAGTGCTTCTTATCCCACACTAGAGGCCTGGTGCATGAAAATTTGTGCACTCGGTTGGGGGAGGGTCCCTCAGCCCGGCCTGCACCCTTTCAGGGACCACTCGGGGGATGTTCACCTGCTGGCTTAGGCCTGCTTCCCCAAGGATTGGGCTTAAGCTGGCGGTTAGACATCCCTTTGGTAGCCCGGGAGCCCTTTGGGAATGTTTACCTGCCAGCCTAGGACTGTTCCCTGGGGGATCAGGCTAAGCTGGCTGTCAGACATCCCTCTGGCAGCCCTGGAGCTCTCAAGGGATGTCCGTCAGTTGGACATCCTTAGTGCTGCTGAGGAGGCGGGAGAGGCTCCTGCCACCACTGCTGTGCTCGCAGCCATCAGCCTGGCTTGTGGCTGAGGGGAGCTCCCCCTACAGGAGTGCACTCACCATCAGGGGGCAGCTCCTGCGTTGACTGTCTGCTCCCTGGTGGTCAGTGCGCATCATAGCAGCTGGTCATGCTGCTGTTAGGGTCAATTTTCATATTACCCTTTTATTATATAGAATAGTTGGGATAACATTCTAATTCTCATAACTCAGCCTAATGGAGAGCCACTCCTTTAGTGTTTATGACATTTCACTCCCTGAGCCATAGTTACTGAGAATCATGCCAATCATTTTAACTACAGAACAGATTCAATATGTTAATTTTGGAAGTTTATCCTATAATGTGTCAAAAATGATTTCTTGATCATTTGTATCATTACTTCTAAGAAATCTTATAACTTAACTTTATTAGTGTTTATATTAATATTTAAAAGCTTCTTATCCACGTAATTTAGAGTTAAAAGTACAAACAATAACCTTCTTATTTTTTGTCTTCCATTGTTTTGTTCTTTACTATAATTTGCAGCTAATTGAGAAAAGAAAAATAAAGGAGTTCTGAACAAGCCAAAAATAAACTATAACTTACAGCTTGTTCAATAGCTAAAATTTCATTTTACTCTAAACCTATTTAAATAAAATGCATATTTTATAACCCACCAAGAAATTTAAGGGTAGCAATAAAAAGACTCCTAAGAATGCTAATTTGAGTTGACCGGCCTACAGTCTCACTTAACTGATTCTAAAGTCTCAGATTAATATCTGCCAATCATCTCTCTGCAGATATAGTGACATTTGCCCCATTTGTCATTGGAGAACCTTTCCAGGGTCACTATCCCCCTGCCCTAATCACTCCGGGGCCAGGTAGCTGACAACTAGGGACAGCCCATATGCCCCAGAGACTGCTCACATTGTTCACACTAGCCAATCCTAAGCTTGTGCCTTGCCATGCCTTCCCAGGGAATCTGCAATAAAGGTTCATTACCTCTGCCTCCTGGTTTCTCGTACTTCCCCAGGGGCCCTGATCATTACATGTCATCCCCTCCTCCTGGGAACTGTGAGGAATAAACTCTTTTTAATGGCAGCTCCCTCCTGATCTGTTGGACTCTCTGCATCTGACTAACAGTAAAAGTTACATTTTAAAACAGATTAAATCTGTGGGCACTCATGCGGGGAAGAGGGGAAAAAATGACTGTGCTTCTCTAATAGTGTAAACAATCTTTGAAGTAATTTGTAATTAATAACAGACTGATGATATGTTTTTGCTTTTATATAAAGTCATTTCAAACTGGCATAGTTTTTAGTTCAGGATAGCATAACATACACTTCAGATAAAATATATTTTTTATTTATAATTTAAATAAAAGTTTAGTTCCTTTAAGACTCTATTCTTCATAGTTGGATTCAAATTACTAATTTCTTTTTCTTTTCTATTTCAGTGAACAATTTAAGAAAACTTTATCATACAAGGTAACCTTTAAAGATCTAGATATATTCTTAATATACTTTTTATCTTTTTTATATATTTTCCTCTCAGATTTCTAATACAGTATCTAATCTATAGTTATATTTTAATTACTCAAGAACATCTAATGTGGATTTTCTTTTTGAAATCAAAGTTAATCTTTACATAGTTGACAAGTTTTCGTAAATGGTCTAAGCATTTACCCTGGTTGCAAGACAACTAGTTAGCCAGCCATAGTCTCATGGATGCTGAGAGAAGACAGGAGACTCCTGTGTCAGTGACAAACACAGCTATTGCTCACAGTGAGAGGGATAGACAGACTATCATTTTTGCTCTGACTTCCTGAGGCTCAATGCCTACAGGGCACACATAAAGAGCCAGGTAACCCTTATACACACACAGTGAGTTGCATTACAGGAAAAGAAACCTGAGCTTAGGAAACCCAAATGTTTTAAGATGTAATCTTTAAGGAAGAATGCCTGCCCTTTACTCTGAAAGGAGACATTATATAGTTTCTAAGGCCTTTTCCTATGCAAACATCTTTAAAAGGATAATCTGGAAGACAGACAAAATTATCGGTAAAAGTAAATATTTTAGGTTTTGCCAGCCACTTACAAACCTCCCACATATTCTAATTGTCCTTGTCTGTGTTGTAAGTTTACAACCCTTTAAAAATGTAAAAAATAATCTTAACGTTTGAGCCACACAAAATCAGGTCATAGGCAGCATTTGGCCTGGGGGCCATAGTTTGCCAACCCCTGATTGAAACAAAGGCAGTGCCTCAGCTCACAGACATGAAGAAACACAGGAGCCCTCAGAGAATTGTTTCCCAGTGGCAGTCAGCACATTGCACAGTTCTGAGCTACCAACCTGTGCAGAACAGTTTCCAGCTTTCTTTCTTTTTGTTAATAAATTTTTTATTTTTTAATTATAGTTGATATATCACACTAGTTTCAGGTGTTCAGCCTGTGATTAGATATTGTATAACTTACTAAGTAATCATCTTGATAAATCTTGTACTTATCTGACAGCAGGCATAGTTATTAGAATATTACTGGCCATATTCCCTGTGCTGTACTTTACATCCCCGTGACTATTCTGTTACTACCAATTTGTACTCCTTAATCCCTTCACATTTTTCACCCAACCCCCCTCCCATCTGTTGACCATCAAAATGTTCTTTGTATCTATGAATCTGTTTTTGTTCTGCTTGTTTGTTTTTATATTCAATCATTGATGTTTTTATTGCCATTTTATTGTTCATGTTTCTCTTCTTCTTCTTCTTCTACTACTACTACTACTACTACTACTACTACTACTACTTGTCTGAGAAGCTCTTTATATGTCCTTCAATTCTAAATGATAGCTTTTCTGAGTAGTAATCTTGGTTGTAGGTCCTTAGTTTTTTATCACTTTGAATATTTCTTGCCACTCCCTTCTGGCTGCAAAGTTTCTGTTGAGAAATCAGTCTTATGAGAACTCACTTGTAGGTAACTAACCGTTTTTCTCTTAAGATTTGCTCTTTGTCTTTAACCTGTGGCATTTTCATTATGATGAATCTTGGTGTGGGCCTCTTTATGTTCATCTAATTTGAAACTTTCTATGCTTCCTGGACTTGTGTGTCTATTTCCTTCACCAGGTTAGGAAAATTTTCTGTCATAATTGTTTTAAGTGGGTTTTCAATTTCTTCCCCTCCCTCTTCTCCTTCCTGCACCTCCATGATGCTAATGTTGGTACATTTGAAGTTGTCCCAGAGACCCCTTACACTATCCTTAGTTTAAAAAAAATTTTTTTGCTGTTCTGATTGTGTGGGGGTTTTTTTGCTTCTTTATATTTCAAATCACTGTTTTGATTCTCAGCTTTATCTGCCTTCCTATTGATTTCTTATAAATTACTTTTCATTTTAGTTAGTGTATTTATCATTTGTGGGTTTTTTTTTATTGTTTCAATGTCCTTTTTATGCAATTTAATATCTCTCTAAGTTCATCTACTCTTCCCTTAAATTCATTGAGCATCCTAATAACCAGTATTTTGAACTGTGTATCTAGATTGCTAGTTTCTATATTATGTAGTTTTTTTTACTGGAATTGTGTTCTGTTCTTTCATTTGGGACACATTTCTTTGTCTCCTCATTTTGGCCACCTCCCTGTGTTTGTTTTTATGTATTAGGTAGAACTTCTGTATCGCTTGAACTTGGTAGAGTGTCCTAATGTAGTAGGTATACTCTAGGATCCAGTAGTACAACCGTCCCATTCACTGGCACTGGGCACTCCAGGTGCCCCTCCAACAACCTGTGTACACACTCCTGTTGTTGAGTTTTGATTTCTGTTAGCACATCAGTAGGAGGGATTTACGCCCAGGATGATCAGCTACAAGGACTGGTGTGACCACCATGAGGATCAACTGTAAAGGGGCCTGCTGAGACAACCCTTTGAATTTGTTACTTGTGGAGGTGGTTGGGTGGTGCTTCGATGTGGTCTGAAACTCTCCACGTGGTATGCTGGCTCTGGGGTCTCCCAGGAGGTATAGTCCAAGGTCATCCACCACCTGTGTTCTTCCCAGAGCCACCTGGCATGAGCTACAAAGCGATCTGCAGATGGCTGCTTCTTGTGCTGGTCTTGGAGGTTGGAGGTGTCCAGGAGACGCCAAGCTGTAAACCAAGCCAGCTGCTGCTAGTGCTGGGCCAGGAGCCATTTAACAAGAGGTACAGGACATCCTAAGGCCAGATGCTATGTTTTAAAAAGATTTTAGGAAGTCTGAAGCATGAGCCAAGATGGGAAAGCCACTGGAAACAGCATGGGTGGGCCTACAAGTTGGTAAGGTGGTGTATCAGGGAATCACTAGGCCAGGGTGAACAGTGATAGCCAGTTGGATGGAGACTCAGATATTGTGCCCTCCCAATTTTTATCCATCACATAGGGGTGTAGGACCAGCCCATTTTGAATGTCTAGCCTTCCTACCAATCTTGATTTGGCTTCTTCTTTATATCTTTAGTTATAGGACTTTAATTCAGGGAGATTTCGGGCAGTTCTGAATGATAGCTGTTCTGAAGTTTAGTTGATTTTTGGTGTGGTTATTGGAGGATGCAAGTACAGCACTTATCAATGCCACCTTCTTGACCAGAAGCCCCAGTTTCTAGCTTTGTGAGCATCACTATTAACTAATTAAATGATCAATAGCATGACATAATACAATCTAAGAAATCATCATATTTGAGAGAAATACATAAATAATTCTATTAAAAGTTGATGAATTAGATTGTATTTTTAGTTTAGTTATTTTAACTTCTGGCAAAAACTCACTAAAATATATAGTGTCATTTTATATATCTGCCTTGCCTTTTAGGAATTTAACCTTCTTCTTTTTTCCAACAGTGAAATAGGTGCAGTGACATAAAAATGTTCATTCTACCACCTTGCACCTTTATCTCCTTCACCTCTATCTCTTAAATGCCCAACTCCAACTCTGTCTTCTACCTCTCACCTCTCCCTGACCCCTCACTTCTGCCCAACCGTATACACAGACCCTGTGGAGAAGAGAGAGACTTCATGTTCATGTTTTTATTCAGAGCTGGCACTTTTCTCATCTTTGCCTACTGGATTTAGGTTTTCATATCCGGGGAAACTACAAGATTTGGGGCAAAATTAGTATCCCAGGAACTTTATTTTCTTAAGATTCAAAACACTTCATCTTTCTCTCCCAAGAGCCTGCTAATACAGTAGAAAAATAAACAAAAACTAGAGCCTTGTTCTAATCCCCCCTTGAGTGATACTAGGTAAAGCAATCTCTGAGAGAATGTGAAGCAAAAGCCTAGGGAAGTGAAGTCAGGTGCCACAATCTTCCTGCCTAGAAAGGAAAGAAAAATTCCTAGAGGTAAAAGAGACAGGGCACCCAGGCTCTTCCAGAGAGGCAAACCCTCTCTTGGTGCCCAATTGGTCTTATCACCTCTTCCTCCCACACCCCGCAGAGCTGCTTGGCCACCAGCCTTTATGAGGGAGGATCTCAGATGTAAATGCTCTATAGAGAAGTATTCTTGAATTCTATGGCAAGGTAGTATCTCAGTATTTCCTAACTTAACCATAATGGGTGGGCTGGGCTTAGTGCCCCAATCTCTTGAGAGTCACTTTAGAAATGTTCTCTTCCATGTTCAATTAGCCAACAGAGTAGGTGAGTACCTACTGTGTGCATCACCCTTTCAGACTTTAACTTCTACAGGGGAGAACACATACACAGATAATTCTATTACTTCTGTATGGGTGGGACTTATCAGGACAAGAGAAACAAACCTCATCTGAGATTGTGATTGCCTCAGTATTACCTATATACCTATATTTAAAATGAATCTTAATTTGCAAACATCATGAGGACAAAGGGCATGCTTTTTCTTGCCTTTTTGTCGTGTTATATAATTCTAAATTCTTCTGTCCCTTTTTGACTTACGGAAACTTAAATAAAAGTTATTTATTTGAACCATCTTATTAGTACTCTAGACTTTGCTACTAAATCTTACAGTGAGCATTGAAATGTTTTTTTTAAATGCATTAAAGTTGAGAAAAAGTTAACCCTTCTAAAAGACCTAGCATTGCACTCATTTCAATTACCGCATTTAAAAATGGAGGCTGCAAATTGAGTGTACAGAAGACCAAGGAGACAGATGATAAAGCTGAGTTCCACCCGTTGGCTAAGCTGACAGATGAGATCATTTACGAAAAAGCGCAGCTGTTCTGAATGAACAGTTGTCCTGGGACAGTGGTCGGCAAACTCATTAGTCAGCAGAGCCAAATATCAACAGTACAAGGATTGAAATTTTTTTTGAGAGCCAAATTTTTTAAACTTAAAACTTCTTCTAACACCACTTCATCAAAATAGACTCGCCCAGGCCATAGTATTTTGTGGAAGAGCCACACTCAAGGGGCCAAAGAGCCACATGGTAGCTCTGGAGCCACAGTTTCCCAACCACGGTCCTGGGAGCACCGCAGTCATCTTGACTGCAAAGAATCACTCACCTTTGGCGACTTGCGGGTTTAAGAGTGCTGTGCAGACTCACCAGCTCTCATCCCTTTAAAGCCTTCTTCTCTTTTTATTAATGCACCTTTCCTAACATTGTTAAGCAGAAGCAATAATTTCCCTCCCATTCCTTCAGATCCACTTTATGTTCCTCTTAAAGCAGAAATAGGTACACCTCCTGAAGCATTTGGAGTGAGAGGAGAATGAGCGAGCCAGGGAAGAGTGGGGAACTGAGCAAAGGGGAGAGGGCGGGCGAGTAGCCAGCACTCCGCTGGGTGTCTGGAGAAATACAGAAGCCACAAACAGTGATCCTCTGCAGTACTTCCTTTTCCGCTGGCAGTAGGAGGAAATGCCACTCAGAATGTGTCATTAGAGCCATGTTTCTGAGATTTAAATTTTATTAAAGGAAAAATTTAAATAATCACCAATTGTAAGTATATTTCTGCTAAAAGCAGCTGTTAAATGGCCCTGAGCATCTTCCGTGCCTCCGTTCCTAAGACAGCTCTTCAGATGTAGAGCTGTCTACCTGAAGGGAAACAAGGTTCTGAGCACTGTTTTCTGACAATGTGCTTATTTCAGAAGTACTATTTGTGCAGTACTTTATTCAGTTAATCTAGCACTCTACAAAAATGAGGTAGTTTTAGAAAATGCTTAATTTTGAAGCAAAAAGTTAAAACAAACCCACATTCTATTGCTTTTTCTTTTAGGAACACATGATTTTGTGCCGATTTGCAGATCAGACAGCTGTCCAGCTTCCACCCCAACGAAGGCTCATAGGTATGTGTTTCACCACAGCTGCTGAGTAGATTACGTACCGCAGGCCTAGGAATGAATGGAGCGACTCTGTATAGGAAAAACTGGTTCATTTATCAACAAGAAACTGAAGGTTATTTCCCCCAGAAAACTTAATCCATATTGAAAAAGGCTTTGCAACAATAACAACACTTTATCCCATTTTTGTTAATAATACTTTTAAATTAAAAACATTTTTAATGTTTGTACATTTAGTAGAATTATTATGTTAGATCTTTCATACTGAAATGAACAAACTGAAGGACCTACCTAAAGCCCCATAAAAAAATAAAAAAGATCAACTATGCACACCAAAATTGATGGATTAAAAATGTATAAACAAGGATGACAATGTTGTCCTTCTCATAAAAAAATATATGCTTGTATGTTATTAATCATAGACCAATATGTTTGACATTTATAATGTTAAATATTGCCTAAATGGAAATGCCTACAATGGCATTTCAAGTTTAAATGATAAATTTTTCTGAGACTTTGCTTTAGAAAAAGAAATAATATTTAGAAGGACAATAGCAGCTAACAATTATTGAACATTTAAGCACCCATTATCTTAGTAAATTCTTACAAAAATGCCTATGGAGTGTGTACATACTGTTATTTATATTTTAGAGACAAGAGGACAAAAACTTGTCCAGGCTCCTTCATCTGATAGATGTCAGAGCCACCCTATGAACCCAAATTATTTGATTCCAGACATGAAGCTCTTGTCCATTTTTGCCCACCAGTGATGGAGTCCAAAGTTGGGCTTACAGTGATTGAGTAGAGTCTAAACTAGTTTTAAAAATTATTTAGAAAAGCCCCACGTTGGAGACCATGCTGGTCTAGAAAACAGATTACTGTTTTGTTTCTACAACAGAATGCCAGATGTAGTCATTAGCTTTCATTCAAGGGCCATGTTATGTGAGAACTATTTGCCATTAAACTCTACAGTCAAAGTCAGCATAGCAAGATATAGAGGGACATTTGCGACCTGAAGCTGAAGGAACAAGCGAGATCCTTTCTCACACTCTGGTGCAAACATATGGAAAATGCTTGCTCCTTCCTACCTGCCACCTCTCTCTCTCTTTCTCGTCCCCACTTCCTCCTCCTTTTCCCATTCCAATACTTTGAATTAGTTGAATGTACATTTGATGTGCAGCCCAATATATATAGACATGTAATTTACATATATATAGAATTACATATTATATAACTTCACTAGACTCAGAGAAGACATCACTGGTATGGTGGGTGGGGAAGCACATGGTGATGTTTCAGGCATTAAACCAGAAGGGACTGGCTGGAAGGGAAGCTGCTAGTCAAGGATGAGAGGCATTTGGCATGATCACTGGTATAAAGGGCGGGAAAGACAGGTTCAAAGTCAGACACCATCAAATGTCTACATCTGCACTATGCACAGGTCATACTTTTTTCTGTGAACATTTTAGGAAGCTTCCCAGGCCCTAAAAGGTAGACTTCCCACAACTGGATTTCAGTTGTAAAGATGCTGCCTCTACATGTGAACACATGAGATTCTTCTCCTTAATGGAAAAGGAAAACTTAACTGGGCAGGGATCAAAGCCAAGGCTAAATGAGCTGCGGGGTAAGCCCAGGGTGCGTACTGCAGGAATGTAGAACATCCCATCTGACAGAGAATGTTCCATTTAAATTGAAAAGTAGATGGAGGTGGGAAGGGGCGTTTACAGAAGTCATAGTTTAAGGGGGAAAGAGTTAGCCATATGGCTATTGATAAAGACGGGGTGATTTAGCTTAAATGGAATCTTGGACATCTTTTTTTATATCACTCTGACACAGTTAATCTTTTTTGGCATGAGCCTTTTAAGGAAAATAAACAAAATATTTTAAAATAGAATCTCTGGTTGCCAATTCTTCCCTACTGATTTCACCTTCCAGTTTTTCTGTGAGGCTTCTTCTGTCTTCCACAGAAGAGCTGTTCTATTTCAGTTTGCTGTCTTCACTTCTGAAGCTTTCATTTAGCAGAATCAGCCGTCTTTTAAATACATTCGTTAAAAATAATGCTTAGGTATTATAGTTATTGAGGAAAAATGGAATGAAATTTTACAGAGTCAGTAACCTTTTTCTAAGAGGATGAAGGAGTTTATGTATTGAATTTAAAGAACTTGAAAGTCTAAAGCCACAACTCTTAATATATTCAACCCCAAATCCTTTTTTTTTCCTGGGCTACTTTTGAAATAGAAGTTTGCCAAACGAACACAAGTTTACTACTTTACTTGCCAGTCAGGTTTCCACTTGTTTTCCAAAGGTTACAAAGAAAATTGAATACCGCTATTTCATATGAGCATAGGAGCTCTGAAAATTAACATTCTATTACACTCAGCATTACACTTCTACCTGAAATAATCAGGTCACAATTGAGAATGTTCACCAATATTTTCTTTTTCCTCACTTCTTTGTTGTCCTAAAAACTCCAGGTGCAAACTGCAACATTCTCTCCGATGGTCCTCTGTTTGCATGTCATTTTAGATATGAAAAACAGATAGTATTTGTCTCACAGTATGACAGATAATGTGTTTTCCTAGGGTATGAAGAGTAAAGGTCTCCACATGGATTTTCAATCAAAGCGGGAAACAATCTGTAGTTGTTATTTGAGATTGATTTATAAACATATTTTAGAAGGTTAACATTCAAATTACTAGCAGCAACAGATCTTTGAAATGTCATACATTTGTAATTGTTTTCTCTCCATCCTGATCAAGAATTAAATTGAAAGAGACACTAAACAGGACTTGGGGGCAAACAGCATTCTCCATACACCTACAGATTTTGTCACTGGATAGAGTCCCTTAAATGCATTGAAATGGCACTGTTAGCTGGACAGGATCTCATGATACCATGGGTTGTATTTCAGGAAAGCAGTGCATGTGCCTGGTGGATCTGGACCGAGCAAGAGCTGCAGAAGAACGCGGCTACTCCGTTCAAGTGATATCCATGGAGCCAGAGAGCTGCTCTCCCAAAAATAACATGATCGTCGGAGTCCCCATTTAGAAGGAGATATTCCCATTTGATGTTCTGCCATTTGTCTTCATGATGAAAGCCCAGTGGCATTCAGGAGGTTCTTGGCACAACTAGGAAACAGCATTAGCCATCTTGAACCTATTGTGCTCAGGAAGGAAAGCAGCAGGAAAATCTTTGAAGAAAGGCAGCCTGCAAAGCATCGCAAATGCTTTTATAATGTGTGATTAAAAGTCCACTGGTTCTCATTGTGAGAGTCCCCTGAATTCTCGGCTGCCAGCAGAATCATACTCTCTAGCTGTGGTTCCATCGCTGGAATAACCATTTCCTTCTCAGTTCACAGCTTTTCTGATCTGGCTAATGTGGTGTTCAGTTCAAAACAACGCACTTGTAGCATTTATAATCATGTAGATGCCCGAGTGGAGGCCAAAATGAGACTCCGTGGGATTTGTTTGTTTTATATTTCTAACAATAGTACTTTTTCTATCATTGTTTTAAAAATCTAGTCGGGTAATTATAGTATGATTAAACTTTTAAGCTGGGGTGAGTTGGATTTGTACATTACTTCATATACTCAATTTAAATATATTTCCCATAAATCGCCTAATGAAATCTTCTCTGGCTCAAACATTTTATATGAAGACATTATAATTACAGTATATTTTCCATTATGGACATATATAATTTGGACATAAATTCTAGCTAATCAGTAAATACATTAATTAAATAATTATTGAGGATCCCATTATTTTCAAGAATCTGAAAAAGATTACTGAATTGGTTAAGTTCTTTATATCATAATGGTCACAGGATTTGTTTTTCAGATATCAGTCATATTTGGGGGATATAGCTTATTGAGTATAAACCAGAGGTGGAGAAATATAGCATATATAAGCTTATTTGAATAGTTCTCTCTACCCAAATTCTTATTTCACCGGCCAAAGATTTTAAGGACAGATGGCATGTCCTTTCTCACAATCTGCTTTTTTCTTTTTAACATGTCCTAGGCCAGTGGTCAGCAAACCACGGCTCACAAGCCACATGCAGCCCTTTGGCCCCTTGAGTGTGGCTCTTCCACAAAATACCATGTGTGGGACTGCAACTTTCGTGGCTCATGTGCAAAAGTCCATTTTTGGCCTGGATGAGTCTATTTTGAAGAAGTGGCGTTAGAACACTCAAGGGGCCCGAAGGGCCGCATGTGGCTCGCAAGCCCCGGTTTGTCTTAGGCTATTCCATTTCAGATAAGATTTATTTCATTTTTGTTGACTAGTAGTCCCTGAATCTGTGTGCCAGTAGCTCTCTGCGGGGTCTGGCTGCTCCACACTCACTGCCCAGAGGCTCTCCATAGCCCAGACGCCCATCTGTGGCCAGGTGTGGCAGCGATGAAGCAAGCATTCCGCCAGGTTGTTCACTCTGCTCGCTTTTAGCAGCCACCCTCCCGGGACTGGGGGACTCTGGCGGGGCTGAGAGGACTGGGTGCCACCATCTTGTGGCTATGGGCGCCACCATCCTTTGTGATGGAATGATGGTTAATTTGCATATTACCCTTTCATTAGATAGGATAGTTTCAACTCTTTTATTACATACCATGAGGAGAAAGGTCTTTAATGAATAACTCTTTTATCGCTGTGGGTTAAAATACAGGAAAAAAATTATGAAAGTGGGGGTGTATTCTTATTTTCTGGGATGAAATTTGAGAAAAGAATTAATCATCCACCCTGAGGAGTCATTTGCACCTATAAACACACTATGCTCTTATCCTCAGCTTTTAAAAAATTTTAAGGTATAATTTACAGACAGCAAAATAACAGATTCTAAGTGTTCTATTTGAGAGGTTTTGACAGCAGTGTACATCGGTGCAACCACCACTAATAAGCTATAGAATATTTCCATCAACCTAAAAAGTTCTCGCATATTCCTTTCATTTCAATATCCTTCACCCTAACTGCAACCATTCTCTGATCCTATCACACTTCATGTGTTCAGCCTATTTTTGTCCTTCAAAATAAGTCAAGTCATTTAGTATGTAGTCTTTTGTATCTGAATTCTTTTTCTCAAAGGTATTTTTGAAAAATATTCACATTATTCCATTATTTATATAATTCGTGCACGGGTAGGGTCCCTAGGCCTGGCCGGTGATCAGGGTCAATCTGTAGGACAACCAGCTGGATGATCAGGGCTCCCACTCGCACCCACGTTGGCTGGCCGCCGCTGCTGGTCTGGGCCTGCGGGCTGGGGACAGCTCCTACATTGAGCATCTGCCCCCTGGTGGTCAGTGCACATCATAACAACTGGTCATTCTGCCAGTAGTTCTGCTGTTCAGTCGGTTTGCATATTATGGTTTTATATACATAGATATTAAAATGTGTTTACCCATTCTCCTGTTTGTATTTATTTGTACTGTTTCCTTTTAGAGGATATTATGAATGAAGCCTGTGAATGTTCTTGTACAAGTCCTTTTGTGGATATATATTTTTTATCTCTCTTACATACCTAGTAGTGGAACTGCTGGGTCATTAATAATTGAATGTCAGTTGCCAAACAATTTTCTAAATGGTTTTACCATTTTATTTCCCACCAGCAACATAAGAAAGTTCTAGTTCTCTAAACTCTCTCCAACATTTGATATTGCCTGTCTTTTTTATTTTAACCATTCTGGTGGATGTGGAATGGTATTCCATCATGGTTTCAATTTTCATTTCTCTGATGACTAGTAATGTTAAGCATCATTTGAAAATGTCTGTTAAAGAGTTTTGCTCATTTGTAAAATTAGGTCAATTGAACTTTTTATTATTGATTTATAAGAGTTCTTTATATGTTCTGGATATGAGTCTTATCAGATATATGTATTGAGAATATTTTTCCCAGTCTGTGGCTTACCTACTCATTTTCATAATGAATGGTTTAATTTTCATAAAGCCTAATTTATATCATTTTATAAGCAAATATTTTGTGTGTCCTCTCTAATAAATCTTTACCTACTGTAAGGTTATGATGACTCTTCCTGGTTTCTTATAGAAACTTTATGGTTCTAGTTTGTTACATTTAGTAAATGTAACAATATTGAGTTCTTACATCCAGGAACATAATACATCTTATCATGTGTTTATTTAATTTTTTAATTACTCTCGGCAGAGTTTATAATTTTCAATGTAACTACTTTATTTATGATTATTTGATCAGTGGCCCAGTGCACAGATTTGTGCACCTTGAAAGGAAATTAATTAGAAGAACTATTTTAGATACATTCTGTCAATAACACTGGCTTCTTTTGGCTTCAGAGGTACATTGTGCCAATAGTTGGTCTTCAGACATATTCTATCAACCATGCTGCTTTCAGCTTCAGAATGTCAACAAAAACAACCAAATTCATGATAAACAATGACAGATCAAAACACATGCATATGATTGGCACCAGCAAAAGCTTTATATGTATCATGCATGAGTCAGCATTTATTTTTAAATTTCCAGTGCATGTCATATATACTGTTTGGTCGGGCAGTCTAACAGACATAGGATCAATCACTCAGCCTTTTATATATGTAGACTAGAGGTCCAGTGTGTGAAATTCATGCACAGGGTTGGGTGGTCCCCTCTTAAACATGCACAGTCCAGCCTGCATCCTCTCCAATCCGGGACTACTGGCTCCTAACCGCTTACCTGCCTGATCGCCCCTAATTACTCTGCCTGCCTACCTGATCGCCCTACTCTTCTGCTTACCTGCCTGATTACCCCCAACCACCTCTGTCTACCCTAACTGCCTCTGCCTTCCTGCCTGATTGCCCCTAACTACTCCCTTGCCTGCCTGGTTGCCCCTACCCCTCTGCCTGCCTACCTGATCACCCCTAACCACCTCTGCCTGCCTGCCTGATTGTCCCTAACTGCTGCCCTGCTGGCCTCATTACCCCTATCCACTCTGCCTGATTGCCCCCAACTGCTTGCCTGCCTGCCCGATCACCCCTAATCACCTCTGCCTCAGCCCCTGCCACTGTGGCTTCCTCTGGAAGGACGTCTGGAATGACAGCTATTACCTTGAGCTTTTTACATGCTGTTCCCATTCCCCAAAATAATTCTCTTCTTATCCTTCCCATTAGCTTAATCTCAGTCATCAGTTTTTTAGATTTTACCACCTAGGGAAAGCCTTTTCTGAGTTACCTGCAGTGCCTGTTATAGAATGTGCACCATCAGAGGAGTCTTCTGCATCCTCCCAGGTACTCGCAGAGCTCCCCACCAAAAGCCCACATGATGAACATAGAGAATAACTAGGGATGTACTCCTCTGTTCTCCCATCCTTGTTCTCAGTCATGGGATTCTCAAGCTGTAGTGGCTATAACTAGGCAAAGACATGAGTGTTAATGATTGCTTCTGTATCATGCTTTTTGTGTATAAATCCTCGCAAGGCTTTTTCTCAGCAGGGAAGATAAAAGGTGTTGGATGTAGGCGGCGAAAAGTTCCTTGCAATGACAGCAATCCCAGCAAATGACCCAATCGCACCCTCCCCTTGTCCATAAAAAGCAAAGCTGCTCCTCACTGGTCCGCCTCAATGTTGTAATATTAGAAGCCAGAGCTCATCTTTCATTGGCATCTGAGCTTGGCTTGGAGAAGCAGGGGTAGAATCGTTAATGACTCAACAAGTGTATCTTATTTAGGGAGATATGGTTCGGTGATATTAGAAATCAAGACATTTTCAGAGCAAACATACAAAATATATGAATTATAATAATTAAACATTTCATCTTAAGATTTTGGCTACAGGTGTTACCTACTCTATTGTTCAAGAAAATTGTCGTTAATAGAATTTCCACATACTGATACCTGTTTTTCTGTTGACTTTTTATAATGAAACTGGTGGCCAAGTGCACAGGTTCATGCACATTGAAAGGAACTTAATTAGAAGAAATATTTTAATATTGCTATTCACCCGTTCTCTATAATAGAAGTGTCAGAGATGAAAGAGAATTAGTAAAATGTATATGAAAATAATATATAAATTAATTATTAAATAAATAATAACATGATATAACAACAAAGAC